AGTATGTGTTAACTCGCTTTCGGCACGTGAATAATTCGAGACTTTCAGCTATTTCGTCAAGAATAAAAAAAATATCAGTCTGGATAAGCAAGTCAGGCATGATATTAGGTTATTTACAAATTACACACTTGAATAATATGCGGAAAAAACATACAACATATTATTATAAATACGTCAGTAATATGCGATTTGTAATAAGACTACTGTGCAAGAATGGTGATAGGTGCATACAATGATCAGCACAATTATCTTTTCTATATTTTCAATGTATAATAATATTTTGACATTCAAATTTCGTATTATTTTCTTTGCCATTCTCTCATCTACGACTGACCTGACAACGAGAAAGCTTTCCATTGGCTGAAATTGTTGTAGCAATACGAGCCAGCCATTGAATTGATTCAGCAACAGAATATTTTTAATAATAATTCATTCGTCAACAAATTCAGGTCGTACGGGCGACAAAAATAATGTAGAAATTGAAAATCCCTCTGCCAAGTATAAGTCACAAGTATGTGAGTTTTTTGGATTTCCCGTAAATTATGACAAGAATGGAATTCGTTCAGTGGACCGAGAAAACTGCATCGCGATATTAATCGTATCGTGGGGTATGAATCGTGATGCTCATCGTATCGTGGCCTGGTGTATCGTTGCAGCCCTAAGAAATAGGAGTCAACTCTCTGTTCACCTTCTCCGAGAATGGCCGATCGTTTGATTGACAGACGTTAACTCCACCTACATAATCTCGATTATCCAGTAACGTTTTCAATGGCTGTGGTACCGTTAGTCATTCGGTTTGAGACAGGGTTGCAATTCAATTCGTATCACATTTATTTTTACTACAAATTAAAAATAAGACCTTTAATATATAGATAATGAGAAGCGAAAGTTTGAAGGGAATGGACCAAATCAATGAGGCATAATTATAGCCGACTTCTTGTTAGCCTGTGTGTACTCTAGTACTGTAACTGGTAGGCCTTCGTAACTCCCGAAGCAGAAAAATAGGAAACAGTGATCCAATGGGGCTGCAATTCAGCTGGGGTGATGCGATGTTTATCGATTTCCATAATTTTTCTGTAAACGCAAGTGACAAAAGAGCGTATAATACTGACATCCAAACTCTCATTTAAACCACAACTAAACATTATATCAAGGCCATACATATCGAACTTTCAATCAAATTGACTGAAATGCGGCCTCACTTCGTACACTCTATCATTTAACCTCAATCTAAAATTTCCGAGAGTATGACGTCGACGTAACGGTTAATCTCCGCTTACGACGCCATTTAAAAATTTAATCAGTCAATGAAATGCTGTTTAAATCTAAGCCATCCGTGGGTCTACAGAGTTGATTTTGGGCTTGTTGTGTAAATAAAGATCTAATTTATAATTTCTATGACATCTGAAGCCTAAATAAAGACTTGCAATAACCAGATTTAGCTCTTGCATAATGTATGTTTAACTTAGTCCTAAACTAAGGATTCATGGGTTGGTGGGGTTTTGATTACAATGTACCTGCTTGTAAGGTCACCTATACAACCACATGGGTTTTCTCCAGGTCATGCAAGCAAATTATTGAAATAAAATTGAACCATATGTTAGCCCCGAAATGACCTAGTTAAGTGGAGGTCTGAAGCAAGCTCTCTCTCTCTCTCTCTCTCTCTCTCTTTTAAGAATGACTATTTCTGTATTAGCCTCTTGTCTGGTAATAATGGGCATTATGTTAATGTATCTTCGTGACGATCATGCTGCTCTGTCTTTCTGCCACACCAATCAATATAAATCTAAATATGGAAAGATCTATTTATAACCTGCGATGATCGTGTAGCTATTGTAATAATGTAGTGTAACTTCTAGGTATTGATTGATCCGATCAGCTACTGTAGATAACGCTTTTCATTGCCTTGAAAATCATCTTCAATGAAACGTTGATAATAAAAATGTGTGGTTTTTTTTTTTAGATGTTTTAATCTTCTAATAGTATAAGCATATAATGCCACAGTTATCTGATTTTGATGAAACTTTAAAAATATGTCTATATCTTAAAGATCTCGGTTCCTTTCGATATTGACGCATGTCGAACTGTAGCATCCTGGATTATTGCCCCTGGTTGTACGAAAAATTGTCTATCTCTTGCAAAATGTGGGCGTATATATCATGGCAACCACTTATTGTAGGAAATCTTAACACTGCAGGAGTCACAGTGGCTAAGTGGGTAAGACGCTGGCTTGCTAGCCTGGAGGGGGATCACGTGGCTAAGTGGGGTAAGACGCTGGCTCGCTAGCCTCGAGGTCGCGCGTTCGATTCCTGCTTTGGCCGAGAAAGTTCATCAGGATTTTCAGACATGGTTTCCCTTTTATCAGGGGACCCGACAAGCCGAAAAAAACAAGGTCCCATGTATACATTGGCATGCACGTTAAAAATCCCTTGGCAGCTGAAATTTGATATAAAAGTAGGTCATATGACCACTGCCCGGGCAAAATTTCTTTCATAGAACACTATGTCATCTGCCTGTCTTCATTAGCTAAAAGGCCGAATGCTAACAGTAATATTTGGACAAGTTGCATGTCGGAAACGTTGGTACATGTAGGATTACTGTTCTGTTGCCTAGTGATACATGAACTATTTGTGTAATCCTGATAAAGAGAAAAAAATATACCTGGTTGTAGATGTTAGGTGATTAGCAGACATAAATAATTCAGGTAGAACTAATTATTTTGCCAGGTTCATCCTCAATCAATTCTCGTCTTGCTGATTATGTAGTTCAGATTTATTAAATAATTGTCTTGTTGGTTATGTAGTTCAGATTTATTAAATAATTGTCTTGTTGTGGTCGAAACTTCTGGATTTTTCCGGAGTGATTTCCCTGGTCTGGTTGTGGAGGATCTAACTAAAACAGCTATCTAGTTGTTCGGATGGCATGAAAAACTGTGTACATATTGGCATGCACTTTAAAGACACCCTATTCGCCTAAATTGACCTAGTTTGTGAAGGAGGGGTTAGATGACTGAATGGTTTGCACGTGCGCGCTGTATCATAAGGTCTGTCATTGAGTCAACTGGCGTGGTTTGTATTCCCTGGTTGTACGTGACAAGGAGTAGGGTCGTCTGCCCAACCTCGTGTTTTCTCTGGGTCCTCCAGTTTACTTCCACTACTGAAGACCCTACACGCAAGCAAATTGTTGAAATAAAAATGAACCGTGTGTTCGTCCCGAAATACCTAATTTGTGTTGAGTGGACGGTAAATCCCATCTCTCTTCTAGTTTGTGAGGAGTGGAGGTTAACTCTCTCTCCCCTCTTCGAGTCTCCCACCCGCTCTCTCCATCAGTAAACTAACTTATGGCATAAATAATAAAATAGGCTGAATTAAAAGATAAATTATACGATAACATGCTTTTGATATTTTATTTCAGAAATAAATTGCTATCGCATTAATTTGTTTTCAATTCACTAGACATTTTGTTGGGCTAAATTACTAATTGATTAGTAGAAACTGGCTATAATGTCATGCAAAAAGTTATTAATGGAAATTCTCCCATTTAAAAATACACGCTGACATGTACATTTGTGTGAAGTCGACCAAAAAACAATACACAAAGAACCTACTTTTATATTCAAACTTGTTTGTTACTTGAAGTACGAAAAACAATTGTAATGAAATTGATGTGTAGATAAGAATTATTTTTTTAAAAAAAAGATTTTCACATATACGAAAAATTGATTTTCATATTTTTGCTGCTTTATGTATTGTACTCTCGACATTGTTTGATTTTAGAAAATTATTGAACGTAGATTTTATCTTGATGTAGACTTAAAGACTGTTTTTAAAAATAATTAATTACAAGGTCAGTCTTATTATTTGTTTGAAATAGTTCATCCTTCTTAATTCTTGACTGTCCAACCTTGTGGGTTTTCTCCGGGTCCTCCGGTTTCCTCCCACTGCTAAAGACCCCTACGCGCAAGCGAATTATGTAAATAAAATTAAACTATATGTTAGTCCCGAAATGACCTAGTTTGTGTCGAGTGGACGTTAAACCCCATTTCTCTCTCACTCTTTTCTTAATGCTTGAAATGTTATTGATGGACATTATGAGGAATTCTTTTAAATAGCTAAAAATTTATTTAAGAAATTAAAATGTGATTCCGAGCTTGAGTATAAAATTTGAGACAAATTTTTAAAAAATTTCTTAAAGATACATTATGGGGGATTAGATACAGAGCTGGCAGTTCTCACTATAATAGTTAAAAACTAGAAAATGTATAGGGAATTTGCTGAAAATTTCAGTCAAATTGATCTACTCTGAACCGAGAAATTAGCGAATGAATTTTTGTTTGGCCTTGCCTCGATTATCCATTTCCTGTTTTAATCCTGAATGAGCGTAGAGCAGCAGATCGGATTCTAATCGAGTAAATATCGCAGGCTAGCGATGACATCTAGAGTTGATTATGGTCTGGATAAGTTAATTAATGTCTAATTAATAATTTAGATAATATTTCAAGCCTAAAGAAAGACCAGCAATAGGCAGATTTAGCTTTTGCATAATGTATGTTTAATGTTTAAAATATTTATGTCATTGATGGGTATTATGATGATTTGTTCTAAATAGCTAAAAATTCATTTACAAATTAAAATGTGATTTCAGGAGTACGAAATTTAAGACAATTTTTAAAAATATTTCTTAATACTTAAAAAAAATTTGTCATTGATCTTTGAAAACAGAGTAATAGACTTTAACACTTGAAATGTCTGGTCCGCTATTTTAGTTTGAAGTGAGGAATTATTCTTCCTCCCACTATGAAAACTAGCCGAGAGTTGTCATGGAAACATGTCTATCCCTATTAATGGCTTTGTATAGTGTTGTAGTTAAGATGGCTGCTGTGCCTAGTGTGGTAGATTTTTGTCGCATATGGTGTTAAAATACAATAAGTTAATGTTATGGTTCATTGATAAGGCTGTAATAATAGGTTACTGTGGGCTGTTTTTATTACCTTTATGAGTTATTTTGAGGGTTTTAGTAGATGAATAAATGGTGGACAACACTAGAGAGAGAGAGAATGCCAGTGTAAGGTGTTTGTCAATCTATAGTGTGTGTATACAGCGAAGATTTCCTTCCTTCCAACAAAACGACGGGACACAAAACTAATGGTGACAGTTAAGACTCGAGAACGAGGCCATTTTACCCATAATGAAAACAATCTGTTTAAAGGATACAGGAATAGAAAGGTGTTATATTTTATCAGACTGTTGTTGTGTCGTGGGTTTGTCTCCATTTTATTCCCAGTGAGAGAGATTTGGCCACGCTTTGGCTTTGTTGTGATCAGGTATTGATCTATTGGTTGGCAGTTTGACATTTCAGCGTGGGAGTTAGTTCTAGGATATTATCTCCCAACATATCATTAACGAAGCGAGGCTTTCTGCTGAAATCTCGGTTGGGTCCAGTCTTGTTTTGTTTTTCACTAATGAGTGCTAAATAATTTAGGCAGTACTGCTGACTTTAATTCCAAGATGGACATTATTATTTGACTTGTGTGAACCCGGGCAAGTTGTGGAATGGCAGTTATTCGTAGCCATATTTGAGCTAGGAAAAAGACAGCAGTCAACCGGGGATTTTTCTAGGAAGGGAATTATCACCATATGGTGACAAACTTTTCACTCTGTCAATGACAGAATTTGTTTTATTTTCAACCAGACACCCATAAATTCATCTGAAGAATGTTCTAAAATGGAAACCTGTTGTCTATAGTTTTATGTTAAAGCTTAATTCTCATTGTCAGTGATCATTCTGTTATCGGACGTCTTGTCAAGTGTCGTGAGGAAACCGATTCTTCCATATGGTGTAGAAAACAGATGCTAGTTTCGTCATCTCGTCGCATAAAATTTGGGGACCATTGAGAAACTCAGATCTTTAGATGATGCAGAGTTTAATTGGATAAATATTTTGTGATATTTTTGTAAAATGAGCTGTAAATTAATACTTATAATGCCCTAGTTGTCTTATCATTGTTCGTCAACATCAGGAAAATTAAAACTAAAAAAAAAAAAATATTTTCTCTTTCAAATAAAAAGTGATTTGTTCATTGACTTTTATTACTGTATATTTTCATTTGAAAGAAAAAAATCCCCAGAGAACATACATTCATTCTGCTTATATTTTATAAATTAAAGATTATTTGTATTACATATTGTCAAAATATTTTTTATAACTGTTGAATATTTAGAGCCGAAAAGCTTCTTTGGGAATTATAAATTTTACATGACTTTGATACTACAGTGAAAGTGAGTTGCGGAATTCGTTGCTAGTTGGGACTTAAAAAAAAACAACAAAAAAAAACCATTAAATTTTTTAAACATATATTGCGTCAAATTTTACATGATTTTGATACTACTACAGTCAGTTGCTGAATTCGTTGACAGTTGGAACTAAAAAAAAAATCACCCAAAAAACCTTTGGAAAGGGATACATAGTGTGAAATAAACTTTCAAGATTTATTGAACAAGTGATATTTAGTTTTTAGTGAATTTGTTAAGTTTTTGATTTGGACGATAATTTCCTCCTTGATGCTTCCGGGTGATGTTTATTATTATTCAGCCAATTCCTGTGTTTTGTGTGTCACAAGAAATACCGCAAAACAGGTAGGTTAATGATTTTAGTTACCTGTAAAATCCAATGTTTGGGAAGGGGAGAGGGGAAATTGATGTTCCCTCTATTATGTTGTGGGAGGTGGATGGACGAATGGTTAGCATGTGCATGCTGTATCATAAGGTCTGTCATTGAGTCAACTGGCGTGGTTTTGATTCCCCGATTGTACGTGACAAGGAGTAGGATCACCTGTCCAACCTCGTGGGTTTTCTCCTGGTCCTCCAGATCCCTACACACTAGCAAATTATTGAAATAAATTGAACCATGTGTTAGTCCCGAAATGACCTAATTTGTGTCGAGTGGACGTTCAACCCTCCCTCTCTCTCTCTCTCTCTCTCCCTCTCTCTCTCTCTCTCCCTCTCTTTCTCTATTATGTTATGTTGTTTGTTTTTGGGGTAATTGATGGTCACTCTTGTTTGGGGTGGGGAATTGATGGTCACTCTTGTTTGGGGTGGGGAATTGATGGTCACTCTTGTTTGGGGTGGGGAATTGATGGTCACTCTTGTTTGGGGTGGGGAATTGATTGTCACTCTTGTTTGGGGTGGGGAATTGATGGTCACTCTTGTTTGGGGTGGGGAATTGGTCACTCTTGTTTGGGGTGGGGAATTGATGGTCACTCTATATTAGGTTGTTTGGAGAGGGGGTGGGGGGGGATAATTGATGATCACTCTATTAATACCTGGACACATGAATTTAAATATTTATTCAAATAAGATATACTAAATACATACATTGTCAAAAAGTAAAGATTGAAAACCTAGCCAAAGTCATATATTATTTTGTTTCCTTGTTATGTACACTTCATATCCAACATACCTGTAAAAAATATAATATATATTTCCTATTAATCCAGTCAGACACAAATTATTGCACAATGTATACATTGTGTGATAGAACCACGGATGCTGGGTGAGTGACATGTTTCCTTGCTAACCTCGAGGTTCTCCGTTGGCCGAGAAATTCTTCATGATTTTCCTGCATGGTATTTTCTTACAAAAAATAGATTAGATCTTTTGAAATTACAAAAAAAATATGAAAAAATGAGAAATATGTAGTCTAAACATGTAAAACACATATTAAGATCTCAGCATTTTTGTACAGGATGGACATTCAGACATTTTTGACATTTTGACAAATATGTAAAATATGAAGAGAGCAATTTTGTCCTCGGAGGAGAGTGATAAAAAGCTCTTCTATTTTGATGTTTGTGTGAGCCGAGAAGAGTGAGTCGGTCGGGTCTGCGAGTCGGTCGGGTTCCTCGAGTCGGTCGGGTCTGACAATGACAGCTGTATAGTCGTTACGATGTGACAAAAAACCCAGGTCGGACCAGTGTAAGCATTGGCGTGCACGTAAAAGAAGCCTTGGCAGTTTTAACTCGATATAAGAGTAGGACGTAGTGCCGCTGTCCGAACCAAATTCCCCTCATAGCACATTGTATGGCGTATGCCCGTCTTTGTTAACACAGGTTAGGAGCAGAACAGTAGGACGTTGTACCCCATTTCATCACATTCTGATAATTTGTGTTCGACAATGTCTATGATGTCCAGGCTTGGTCAAATCTAATGTTGCTTGGACTTGGGTAATTGATAGTCACTGGATTGATAGCTCAAGAAAACTGCATTCTGTGACGAGAGCATAATAATACCTTACATTAAATCTAAAAAATCAAACTCCTTCAAAACATGTGTATTTCCACTCAGTTTATAATAGAAGGGTTGTTTACGGTATCCACCATATTTTTCCTGTTTACTCCTGTCTACTTTTGGAAATGACAACCAAAGACCGGAATGTCTGGTCTTTAAAAAATGACATTCTGTCTGAACGTTGATCATGACTACCCTCTTAATGGAAGATTTTTTCAATCTTTATGCACTGTTTTTAAGCAGGGTTAAAAATGTTATAATATTCCAAAAATGAACAGTTGAATTTAGCAGAATGACATTTTGAATTGCTGTATGAGACAGTTACTATAGCAACAATGACATTTCATGTACATGTAGTCATGACAATAGTTTTACCTAGATTGGGTTGTTACACGAATGTCATTTAATATGTAAAGTGACATTCTGACTTTAGATGTTCTGTCTTGAGTGAGGGACATTTTGACTTGGGCAACAGTCTGACTTGAGTGGGGCGACAGTATGACTTGAGTGGGGCAACAGTATGACTTGAGTGAGGCAACAGTATGACTTCAGTGATTGCCTATCTGATTTGAGTGACATTCTGATTTGAATAGACGAATAACTTACTGTGACTTCAATCAAATGCTTGTTTTCCATTTCTGAAAATAAGTTAAAATCAGGATAAATTGTCTAGTATTTTTACCTTGCATGTTTTCGTCTGGTTATCCATTCAGATCTCAATGTCGGCCCGTTATGAATAACCATTTTCATGAAATGTAGTACAAGACTTAGTTCCAAATTAACCCAATTCATCATTCTGTCTACAAACCAGTATTTTATTACCTTCATAATATTGTCATGGCTACCTCAATAATTACCTGAGATATTGACCAGTTAATAAATCATTTGAACTCTAAACTCTGCCCCCAGGTCAAGTGAGGTCAGGTTGGTATTGTGATATAAGATAGGTGCCTACTCTAAAGGCCTACATGACCTGAGAGGTGTAGTGGTTTAATGAACATGAACTAAAAACATCAAATATTTGTCAATGACATAGTTTATTCCATCAAAGTTTACAGGTTGAGGTGGGGTGACAGTACATTGTAAAAGCAGTAAGGAGATCTACATGTAAATAAACCATCTGATTTACCCAATAAAACACTTATTCTGTTTCGTTCTTTTTTTTCACTTAAATGAAAGAGATGTACATTGTACATGTAGCTCCATTAAGTGAGTTTGTCATTGATAGTGTACCACATCAACCCAATTAAATAGTCTTTTTTTTTCTTCACTTTTCGGATGGGACAAAAAATCAAGGCCCTGTGTAAACATTAGCGTACACATAAAAGATCCCTTGGCAGATGGAATTCGATATAAGAGTAGGCCATAGAACACTGTATGGCGTATGGCCATCTTCATTAGCCCAGTATAGGAGCAGAACAGTAGGACGTTAAACCCCATTTCATTTCAGTAATTGAGAGTTCAATGTCCTACCCAGGTTGGATAACTCATACATTTAATTCTCCTGGAATCTTTTCATGCTTTTATTGCGTAAGGCAAAAATGTGTATACAAACATGGGAAGATGCCAACTCGACACATGGGGTTTGTTTACCTTTTGAAATCGTTAATAAATCTATCAAAATATTCAGGTGTTGATCCGCTGTTTATCAACGATTAGATCTGATATCCACGGAAAATATTTTACAACTGGTCTTCACTGTTCATTTAGTCAATTAAAACAAAAATAATCCCAGATACTCCTTATTTTTAGCTGTTATTGTTCGGTCTATCCTCGACATCTTGGTTTATTAAGGGCAGGTTACTCTTGGGATAGCAGAAATTTACATGAAGAAGTAAATGAATGCGCCAGTGCAACTGATTCTCAGTGGGGCGAACCCCAAGTTCGATGTAGAATGAAACACATCGATCTTGATGTTGGCCTAGTTTAGCAGAATAAAGGCCTTGACAACGAACAGGGTCTGGACGTTCAGATGCGACGTTAACCTAAAGGTCCCAGATACATGTTCACGTGAATATAAAATAACTATTTTAGATAAGCAGATGGACATGCGTTGATTTTTAAAGAAAAATTAAGATGCAAAAATATATTGATATTGATGTCGAGCATAATTAGATATGTTCATTAAATCACTAGGGTGATTGAAAATTAATGTCGAACATTTAGTAAATAAATTATGGGTGTTCATTTTATGAAAACTGTTGAGAGCCTAGGAAAATAATCAGACTTTTATTCAAATTTATAAATCCAAATTATGTTCGTGGGTGTTCGTTTCATGTAAAATATTGAGAGCCTTGGAAAATGAGTTTTGACAACCTTGAGTGTTGTTAAAAACACTTTAAAATTAGGTTGTATTTGAAGAGAAATAGTGTGAAGCTATTCTCAAGGTCTAGGAGTTGACCTATTTGACTTGAGTTTCTGTATGTTGAGAGATACACAAGGATATAATGGGCTGGTGTTTGTTCTTTGTCAACTTACTGCGTGCATGCACTTTTCTTGTATTGATTCTTGTGCAGTGTTAAATGTGGAGGGTTTAACAGGTTTTATCTTGACAAGTTGGACCATGTTTTGTAGGGTTTTAAAGATGGAGTTCTTGACAAGTTGACTACATTTTGTAGGGTTTTAAAGAGGCGAGGTCTTGACAAGTTAGACCATGTTTTGTAGGGTTTTAAAGAGGGAGGTTAATGGAAATGAAATAGGCATTAACGTCCTACTGTTCTGCTCCTATACTGGGCTAATGAAGATCGGCATACAGTGTGTTATGAGGGAAATTTTGCCCGGGCAGCGGCACTATGGCCTACTCTTTTATCGAATTCCAACTGCCAAGGGATCTTTTACAAGCACGCAAATGTATACATGGTACATGTACCTCGGTTTTTCGTCACATCAAATGATATGACTAGACAGCTGTCCTTATTAGGCCCTCAGTCCTGCATCATTGACATGGGAAAACCACATTCTTGGCCAATGCAGGGATCGAACACGCAACTTTGAGGCTAGCAAGCCATTGTCTTTGCCACTGTGACTCCCCCTCATAAATGGAGTTTCACATCCACTCTATTTGTTTAAAGTGAAACAAGTGTCTCCAGGGTGCTCTAATTATCAGACCTAGAGATACATGTAGTTATTTTAGTGTAATTTTATTGCTGGATATGTTCAAAGGTATCAATAAATAAAAGAATTAAAAACAAGGCAAGTCTGTGGGTGACAAAATGCCTGGCACCAGAAAAATCTTGCCAGACAAAGCCTGATTTTCATGTCTGGCGAGGAACAGTTTATTGTCGTTCAAGTGGTATGAACCCCCCCCCCCCCCCCCTAAAAAAAACTGAGTTCCCATATACACATTGTTGTACCGGTACTTATAAAAGCACACTTGACAGTTGGAATTCGATGAAAGAGAAGGCAATAACGCTGCTGTCGGGGCAAAATTTCCTGATGTATGCCTATCTTCATTAGCCCAGTTGGTGCGAAACAGTAGGATGTTCTATTGTTCCTCTCAGTGGAAGATAACAGCTGGTCCCAGGATCCATTCACTTGATTTCATATTTGTTGTTAATGTCCTTTCTATGTGGATTTTGTTTTGCGTGGAGTGTGAGGTCTCCTGCACTTACTACAATATTTTTAATAATGTACAGGTGTGTTAGAATATGTTTTATATCTATATAAAATAGGTATAACAATAACTCTATTATATTATAATATCATTCACCCTATTGTGGCCAAAATAAAATCGTGACTGAATTAAAATCATGTGGCTTAACTGGCAAGAGTTGGTATTTCGAAATGACACTTTGATCAAATCCCTACTGAAGTGGTATTTATATATAAAGCTATTACAACATAATTCCGTCTCCAAGGAATTATAATCTTTTTAAAATGTAGAACATTATTACTTCACTATAATGCTGTATAGTGATTGATGGAAATCATTACTGTACTACTTACAGATACATTATGGGAGATTAGATAACGAGTTGGCAGTTCTCACTATAATAGTTAAAAAACTAGATAATGTAAAGGCAATTTGCTGAAGATTTCAGTCCAATTGATCCACTATGAACCGAGAAATAAGCGATCAAATGTTCCGCATAGCCTTGGTCATCATTACTAAAGTCGGTACGACAAAAATCATAGTCTCAATTATCCATTTAATCGTTAAATCGTGAAGGAAAGTTATGCAGCAAATGGGATCATAATCCAACAAATATCGCAACAAACATCATGGCTCAGGAGCCATGATGACTCAATGAGTAAGACATTGGCTCGGGAGCCATGATGACTTAATGAGCTACAGTGGCTCAATGAATGTGTAAGACGTTCGCTCTCAACAAAATAAAATAAGTAAAAGAACAAAACTTTAAATTAACTAACCTAAAAGTAAAGATGGAGTGGGAGGTCTAAAATTGGATTGTGTTTGTCTTACTGGTGTAACATGCCTGGTACAAAACGTTAATAAAACCTGGTGGATGTTGAATCGACATTTAACATGGTGAAGTCATTTATAACAGGTATTTTATAAAACAAATACTAGATAATAACCGGCCTTGTGTTAGCCATCGACATCAAATTATCACTTCTCAGTACAAGGATGCAAGGAATTCTTTCAAACGGTTCAAAACTTGAACCCAGGCATTAGTTTTGGAACTAGTGATGGCCATCCATGTTGAATTGTAACTCCTTAGTCCAAGGAATTATTTCAAACAATTTAATCCATGCAACATGTTTATTGCTCCGAATACCTTGCTTACAATAAATTTAAAAATTTGATTAATGAATAGCATGCCTAGAAGGAAGGCACTCAAAGGGACATTGTCGGGCACAAGTTCAAGCTTTGTACAGTACATTTCCTCGTACCTGTGATTTTGTCTTGATACAGATTCGTCAAGTTTCCATGTCTTGAATGTCAGTAAGACATGTCAGACTCTTAAGTTCATGATATCAGGTACTAACATGTTTTCAGCAACTAGATCAAGAGAGAATGAAATCCATAGCAACCAGAATACGAAGATTAATACGATGTCTATCTTGATTAAAAAGGGGTTTTGTCTTTATTGACCCAGGAGGTTTGGGTCAGGTGGTCTAGTCGTCCTCGTTAAAGATTAGTTGTATGTTAAATCACATTTCATTTGATTAAAAGGCACCCTACACACAATTGTCCTTGCCTTGATTAAATAAGGGTACTGATGAGAACCGTAAGCCCTTTAAAACTACAATATTGTAAAAGGGACATCAATCAACATGAGTTACGTACATTTATATATCCTTAATTAAACCCTGAAAAATGACTAGCTTTCTTACACAATTACACAGTAAATGAACAAAGTTAAGTGCAACCTATTGTGTATGTATATACATATACAATTCAAACACTCCATTGTTTTTTTGTCTTCCCGAATGTTTAATTAGAATGAATGGAATGTTTTAGTTTGAATGGGAAGTTAAAACATTCTTCACTTGTTGGGAGGTTGGGTGGCCGAATGGTTAGCACTTGCGTGCTGTATCAGAAGGCCTGCCATTGGGTCAACTGGCATGGTTTCGAATCCCACTGCTAAAGATCCCTACGCGCAAGCGAATTATTGAAATAAAATTAAATCATGTGTTAGTCCCGACATGACCTAGTTTGTGTTGAGTGGATGTTAAACTCTCTCCCTCTCTCTCTCTCTCTCTTTCTCTCTTCTCTCTCTCTCTCTCTTCACTTAACAGTCTGGGGTGGGGTGTGGTGGAACTGAATGGGTTTGCATGTGCATGTTAGATCACATTGAGTCAAGTGGCTTGGTTTTGATTCCCTGCTTGTATGTGACAAAGGAATAGGGTTTCCTCTCCACCTCGAACCATGTGTAAATAAAATTGAACCATATGTTAGTCCCGAAATGACCTAGTTTGTTAAACCCCCATTTCTCTCTCTCATGTTAAATACATGTAAACAACAACATGTAGTATGTACAAGTAGTACAGCTGGTCAAAAAGGATAAAACCTGTTTCTTGAATAGCAAATTGTCATAAGGGTGACCTGGAATTGTTAATTGACAATCTCGAACTGGGGTTTTTTTTTGTTTTTTTTTGGGGTTTTTTTTATTTTGTCGGATGCTCCATCAATTTCAGATCCAAATTCTTTTTTATTTTCAGGATTTACCTATGAATAACACTATTTTAATAATGGAATTCAAAATGAATTTTCTTTGTCTTTTCAGATCACTCCCAAAAATTCGAGTTTGAAATTAAATCCCAACGCCAATGTTTTTGAGCTCGGCAAATCTCCGACATCTCCCGACACAACAACCCCAGTTGACACGACGGTCGACTCGTCACCAACACTTGATGATAATACATACCCAATTATCAAACCTGGTAAGTACACGTCTTCATATTACCCTGGAGCTGCAGTGGCTCAATGTGTATGACCCTGGCTTGCTATCCTAGAGGTTACTACCCTGGCGCTCAATGTGTATGGCCCTGACTCGCTATCCTGGAGCTCAATGTGTATGGCCCTGGCTCACTATCCTGGAGGCCCCTACCTTGGAGCTCAATGTGTATGACCCTGGCTCGCTATCCTGGAGCTTCGCCTCGGAGCCCCACTCAAAAAAGAGACGGTGTATCAACCCATACACCTTGAAAACAAGGTATATAACTATTACTTACTACACTAGGATATAGAAGAGTTGTTGTATAACAGTCGTTCTAGTTGATGTGAGGGATTAGCCAATGAAACGGTCTGTTATGTGTCGAGTTCTTGGCGTGCGATGCATGGAACTGTTGGTAAACCAAAAGAAACGTCAAGGCTGGTTGATTAATCAGTGTCTTGATGTCATAGGGTGAAAAACTGCTCGTACGACCCCTGACACAACCTTCCACTACAACTAGTCATATCTTCATGTAGTGTAGGCCATCAAAAGTATAAAAACGAAACGAAATATAGATCTGTATTTTACTCCTTTAACAGAGCTGAAACTAAGATTATGTTATATTATGTACTGTGTAGACAAGTATAAAGGTTATGTACTGTGTAGACAAGTATAAAGGTTATGTACTGTGTAGACAAGTATAAAGGACTGATAAATACATTTTTGTTTAGTAGACAAAAAACAAAACAAAATTACATGTAGTTAGGCAATGTATAAAAAATATTCTAGTCTCAGATAATCTGGATTCTCTTCAAAAGGAGCCGCATAACCTGTTATTATTTCAAAAATTAAAAGAATTATTACCCCTGGTTACCGAAAGTAAATCTTTTAAAAAAAATTGTAAAAGTTATCACATTACGCTTTACACAATCCTGATAAATTTTATTGACAATTATAAATGAATGATACTGGATAATCATGTATTAGCCACGTACTGATCCTTTGACAAAATGCCCCTTCCCCCCCCCCCCCCCCCCCCACCCACCAACTCGTCTGAGAACCAGAAAATTTGTTTGGTATGAGTTTTATAATTGTATATATTATTCGTCTTTCTTTTTCAGACTATTCATATGCTAACGGTGATGTGACCATCGAGTCAGATGGGGGTGCACCCCCTTCCCCACCTCCCCTCCTCATTGAGGAATCCCCAAGCCCACTGGTGACCGATGATTACCCCATGCAGGAGGATATAATTGGGCCGGAACTGGTTCCTCTCATCGATGAGCCACCCCTAGAAATTCTCACCGTAGCAGAAACTGCCATCAGTGACAATGCATCTGGTAAGAATTAGATTATGTTTGATCCATTCACTTCATTTTTTATACGCCCACATTTACATATGGAGGTATTATGCCGTCGCCCCTGTCCGCCTGTCCGTCCACAATTTGTTTGTGGACACTCTACAGGTCAAAATTTGTATCCGATTTTGACGAAACTTGAAATATAGGTCTATCTCCCAAAGATCTGGGTTCCTTTCGATATTGGCATGTATTGGACCATAAATTAATGGATTATGGCCCCTGATTGTATGAAAAATCACGTTTTTAGCTTGTGGACACTCTAGATGTCACAATTTTCACCCGATTTTGATGAAACTTGGAATGCATGTGTATAACCCAAAGATCTTGGTTCCTTTCGATATTTGCGCATATCGTTTCGCAATCTGAATTATGGCCCCTGATTATGGTGTTGTTGGATGGTCTGTCATTGAGTCAACTGGCGTGGTTTCGATTTCCCACAAGGAGTAGGGTCGCCTGTCCAGCCTCGGGACTTTCTCGGGTTCCTATGGTTTTCTTCCACTACTAAAAGCCTACGTGCAAGCAAATTATTGAAATACAATTGAACCATGTGTTAGTCCCAAATTGACCTAGTTTGTGTCGAGTGGACGTTAAATGCCATTAATTGATTTGTGATATTTTCAGTATCCACATTGTCAACCGAAGATAATGTTCCCATTGAACCTGTACCGGAAGATCAACTTCGACAGTTGCTTAAAACACAACTTGAATATTACTTTTCAAGGTAGGTCCTACACATAGTTTACACCTTGAAACACAATATTACTTCTCAAGGTAGGTCCTACACATAGTAAAAACCTTAAAACACAATATTACTTCTCAAGGTAGGTTCAGACAAATGCCCATCTTCATTAGCCCAGTTGGATCAGAACAGTAGGACGTTAAATTTCATTTCTTTCCCCTTTAATGAAGAATTTCATTTTGTCTTACAAAGGGAATTTTAATAAAAAATTTCATTTTGTCTAACAGAGAATTTTAATAAAGAAATTAATTTTGTTTTACAGAGAGAATTTGGTACATGATACATATCTTCAGTCCCAGATGGATCCAGATCAATTTGTTCCCATAGCAACAGTTGCCAATTTTCCTCAGGTTCAGAAATTAACCAGTGATTTGGAACTCATTATAACTGTTTTAAGAGGTGAGAAAGTTTTAAATCACAGGGGGGGGGGGGGGGCTGGTTGTCCAAATGGTGTAAGGCGTGTTTACGTTACATCATAAGGTCGGTTAATAAGTTGAGTGACCTGATTTCGATTCCCTGCCTTTGCGTGACAAAGAATAGCGTTACATGTCCAACCTTGTTGGTTTTCTCCGTTCCCTCCTGTTTCCTCCCGCTGGTAGAGACCCCTACGTGCAAATGAATTATTGAAATTGAACGAGATGTTGGTCCCAAAATTCAACATGGCGATCTTTCATTAAATCAAATCTGGATTTGTGCGAAGGTTACTTAAATCTGGAAAGAAAATTGATTAAGAGGCCCTTGCAGATATTTTTCCATTACAGATTGATAGAGATGGGTTGTCTCCCCTTCCCTGTAGTAATGTCTATCGATCTTGCTTCATTGTAAGTGCTCGTACAATCCTCGATTTATTAATGGGAGATTGTAGACTGGTTGGGGAGTTTCGAGAATTTCCGGAGTCCACAATGGCCGCTTTATATAAATGAGTATTTTAGGGAACACTAACCCTAACCGTTTTTAGAAAACTGAACTTGGATCCAATTTAAAAGGGTGAGGATTGGGGTTAGTATTACCCAAACTACTCATTTATATAAAGCGGCCATTGTGGAGTTAATAGATCCCCTGATAAAAGAATAGGTAAAAAGACAACTGAAATTACAACAGTTTCAAATGGCCCCAAGTAATAAATTTATATATGTAGTGATGTATTGTACCCAATTGAAGTATCCCATAGGAATTTCACTGGGGCGACAAATAGGGTCTATTACCAGACAAATAAAAAGGTTTTTTTGTTTTCTAGAATCTTTGAATGTACAAGTAGATGATAAAGGGGAGAAAGTACGACCAAATCACAGTCGATGTGTCGTCATTTTACGAGAGGTTCCAGAAACTACACCAGTTGAGGTAAATATCCCAGTCAGTCGTATGAATCGAGAAGCTGATATTGTGAAAACTAATGGAATTGATCATGTGGGGAGACACATTCGCTGAGGGAGTAAGACGTTGGCTCGCTAGCCTGCTTTCTGAGCGGTTCGCTTGTGTCAGGACATCGTGCAGGACCCAGGGCCTGGTAAAGGGACAATATGTAGTCGTTCGGATTGAAGAAACACCAAGGTTCCCCGTACACATTGGCGTGTGTGTAAAAAATCCCTTGGCATTTGGAATTCGATATAAGAGTAGGCTGTAGAGTCAATGTCAAAATTTCCCTCATAGCACATGTTTACATTAGCCGAATTGGAGCAGAACAGTAGGATGTTAAACGCCATTTCATTTCATTTTTGTGAATCAATGGAATTTGATTGTGTTGCAGGATGTAAAGAATTTGTTCAAGGGAGATAACTGCCCTAAATTTGTGAGTTGTGAATTTGCTCATAATAGTAACTGGTATGTGACATTTGAATCAGATGAAGATGCACAGCAAGCCTATCAATATCTCAGAGAAGAGGTTCAAAACTTTCTCGGTAAACCAATCATGGTAAGTCAGAACTTTATTTCTTTGGGGCTAGAGGGGGTCACGGTGACTAAGTGGGTAAAATGCTGGTTCGCTAGCATGGAGGTCGGATGTTCGATCCCTGCATTGGTAGAGAAAGTTCATCGGGATTTTCCAGAGTGGTCCCCCTCTCAGTGATGCAGGACGGAGGGCCTGACAAGGACAGCTGTCTAGTCGTTTGGAAAAAACCGAGGTCCCGTGTACACTTTGGTGTGCACGTAAAAGATCCTTTGACAGTTGGAATTCGATATAAGAGTAGACCATAGTCCTGTTGCCCGGGCAAAAGTTCCCTCATAGCACACTGTATGGAATATGCCCATCTTCTTAGCCCAGTTTTAAGCAAACCGTGGGACGTTAAACCCCCATTTCAATTTAGTGGAATTTTCTGTTTCAAACCATTGTTGGCAATTTCAAATTCGTTGAGAATATTCGAAAAATATTGGGTTCCAATGCATTTGAACAATATGCCTACAACAATTGGGTTTAAAATGGTCCATCTAGATTAGATGTGTCTGGTTTATAACTGTTAATTTTACAAATAGTGTTGAGTAATTAATAGACAAATTAATTATTCAACACCACCCTAGTGAAAGTAAACCGTTGTAAACCGAACACTCATTATCTAATCTAGACGGACTATTTTATTTAAACTATGCGATAGTAGGAACCAAATATTTAAACAATTTGCCAACAATGGTTTGAAACTAAACATTAAATACAGAAAGACCTGCTAAAACACAACTAAACGATATCCTAATGGTAGTGTAATACATGGAATTTTGTACAACTAAACGATATCCATGTTGTAGTTTAATACATGGAACTTTGTATTATTTAATCACCATTACATTGTAAGTAAATATGTGAAATAAAAATGTATTGACTCGCTAACCAGAACACTCTGGATTTATCAATAATTCCATTTGAATAAATACTCTTGAATCTTATTGATATGATTTAAATATTTCAGGCAAGAATAAAAGCAAAACCGTTAATACGATCTCAGCAGTATATTCCTCGAAACGGTTACAAGGCACAACAACAATTCCCTGCCGACCCACAGCAATCGTTCACTCCAGTCAACCCACAACCCTATCCCATGATTACAACAAGAGTTCAATATATCAACGGACAACAGGTAAGTTGATCAGGTAGATCCAGGTGTCAAAGACAGAGAAGATCGTTCAGATTTTATATTTTGGAAAATAAAACGTTTGGGCCAAGCAACTAACTCAATATACGTGATACATTTTCAAACAACTTAAACCCGCCAGTCTTATAAATAAAAGTAAAGTGTAGGTGAAATTTACCTTTCGTTAACAAATACAGCACTTGGGTCGCGCACTGTATAGACCTCCAAAGGAATGGCAATCAATTATCAGGTCACCCAATGAAAAAATTGACCTGAAATCTTGAAAGGGTTACTTGTCTGGATAAGCGGTTTTGACGTCCAAACAACTCATTATTTTGAGCTGAAATTTTAAGACAAGGTAAAACACCATTCCTCTCTATTTTGGCGCTTAAATTTCATATATACACACTTTTATTTTTGAGACTCTGTTCATTTAAAGGGTTGTTGCCCACGTTGCTGACAAGGAATAGGTGTCTAGTAGTACACATTGGTGTGTATGTAAAAATTATGTTGACAAAATATTCCTCATAGCACACTGTGTGGTGTGGTACAAGAATAGGGCCTGGCAACTGACAGCGTATTGTCGTTCCGATGTTACGAAAACAGGTCCTGTGCACATAAAAGAACCATTGACAGTTGGAATTTGATATAAGAGTCTGAACAAAATTTTCCTCATAGCACACTGTATGGAGTATGCCCGTCTTCATTTATCCACATTGCTCAACACTTTCAACGTGTATAAAATATCAAATAAATTTTATAAGCAAAACTGAATTCTGTGTGAATTTCCTTCTCGAACTACCCAGACTCAATTCATTATACTATATAATACAGGGACATAACTCTATGAATTGGGACTATTAAACCGGAAATAAGGAATCAAGTAGTACCACTATGTTTGCAAGACATGACAATTTCGAGAAATTATATCAGTATTCAATTTGAACAAAATAAATTCAGTATATCCCCCACGTATTGTTAATAAAATATAAAAAATAAATGTGTAAACGTATTGTAAAATGAGAAATCAAAGTAAGAATTCCTGTAAAATATTGTTTATATCGTTGTTTATATCGCATGCGTCTAGATAATAGAGATTATTCCTAAAAAACTGTGTGCGTCCGATTGAAAAAAAAATAGTAACACACGATAAAAAGCAGACAAAATTGTTTTCGAACGAAGAAATAAGAATTAAAATGAGTGGGACTTCGGAAGCCACTGCCAAGAATTTTCTTCAGACATAACCAAAAGTCTACATTCAGAAATGTTCACAGCTACCTGTAGCAGTGCTAAAATTCTAAAAAATCTTAAGAATGAAATTTTGTTATTTAGGTGTTTTATCTTGAAACCGAAAAACTGCTAATCAAATTTTAAATTTGCTAATCAAATTTGACAAAATTGGACTTTTTGATTAGCAGTGCTGCTAATCATCTGTGAAAAATTACAGACAGTCCTGGGAGCAGAACAGTAGGAAGTTAAACCCCATTTCATTTGATTCCATTTAAATGTTACAAATTGAACAGATTCTCATATTCGTCATTACTAACTTTGTTATTTGTTTTATTTTTATTTTTATTTTTTAGCCTTTTTATTATCCCATACAGCCAACAGTAGTTTCTCCGTGGACTAATCCGACAACACCAACTTATCTAGATCCAGGAGCTGTAAGTTTTATTGTAATTTATCATTCGTCGGCTTTAGTCAAGTACCCCTTATTCCTATCAAGTTGGGGGTGTTCCTTCTAGTCTTTCCAACCTCGTTGGTTTTCTCTGAGTACTATGGTTTCCTCCCACTACTATGCGCTCGCAAATTATTGAAATAAAATTAAACGATATGTTAATCCGGAAATGACCTAGTTAGTGTCTAGTGGATGTTCATCCCTGATTCCTCAATCCCTTCTAGTCTTAGATGGAGGTTGGATGTTCTAGTGGTTCAACTCGTTGGATCAGACGGTCTCTCATTGAGTCAAGTGGTGGGCGTTAGATTCCCTGCTTGTACGTGACACTGAGTAGAGTCACCTGTCCAACCTCGTGGGTTTTCTCCGGGTCCTCCGGTTTCCTCCTACTGCCGAAGACTCCCTATGCTCAAGCGAATTATTGAAATAAAATTGAACCATTTTTTAGTGCCAAAATGACACTAAACCCCCTCTCTCTAGAATAGTATTTACAATTATTTTTTTTTTTATTTTTTCAGATGCTAGCTATGAATGGTTACCAAGCAACCAATATAAAACCCTCTCCATCAACCAGTCGTCATAACAACATATTTACCCCGAACAGAAATAGGTAATTTAATTAATTTGGGAATTGCCAATCTAGTTTCTCAGTTGTCATGGATACTGTTTCTAATTATTACATAACAGGATGTTTACTTCATGCACAGTCTTGATTATAATATTATGATGGCCGAATGGTTAGCGCGTGCGCGCCGTATCATAAAGTAAAGTGACATGGTTTCGATTCTCTGGATGTATGTGACAAGAACTAGGGGTCACCTGTCCAACCTCGTGGGTTTTTTTCTCGGTCCTCCAATTTCCTCACACTGCTAAAAAAAACCTATGCGCAAGCGATTTATTAAAATAAAATAGAACCATGTGTTAGTCCCGAAATGACCTAGTTAGAACTGTGTGGGTATCCCAGTAGAAACATCAACGCTGATTAGTTAATCAAATCTCTGACGTCATAGGGTCAAAAGCCGCTCGTATGACCCATGACGTGAACTCACACTATAACTAATCAGATCTTCATGTAGTGTAGGCCTTCGAAAGTATAAAACAATAAAACGAAATATAGATCTGTATTTTAATCTGATTGTAGCAGATGAGGAGTAACAGGGCCCAAATCTCTTGGGGTTTTCCTTTGACAGCGGGCAAGCGATTATCAATTATCTCACTAGAGCAGAGGTCGCAGTCATGCAAAAATCCGCGTTTTTCACGCATTTCTTTTCAAAATAAACGCAAATATTGACGGACGCTGCATAATTTACACGCACAAAGTGTAGCCGACGTGAGCATAATTAGATTATTCTATTTCATAGTTTGTACACTACGTCATCAATTTCCGTGTTTCACGAGGCATTTACACACCGCTACTGTGTGTAGTCTCCATAGGTTTTTATATTTCCTCTATTTCGTTCATAATGCTTAAGTTCATGGCAGTCAGCCTTCTATACGTAGCTATTCTGAGACCCCCTATTTTTTCACACTGGAAGCAATAAAGAGCATTTCATACAAGACTTTGGATTGGCTAGAACACGATAAACTGTTTACATTGAGCGAATCAAATATTGGCTTTCATAGCGATAGTTTGCTCTTTACTTCCTGTCGAAGTGAAAGATTGAAATAACTGTGCCGTCAACCATAGATATGCCGTTAACCTTCAGTCGTCTTTAGACTAAATACAATATCAATGAAATAAGGACGCTTAAAATAGGGTTGTTCACGGAACGATTTTACGTGCTTCTATTAAATATTTTGAGAGGCTCTAAATCAAAGAGCAAAGACGCATGATTTTTTTTAATGTCTGCGTATATTTTTACGCAACTCAAAATTGATCCACTGCGACCTCTGCACTAGAGTGTGCCCAGTTGGTGCAGAAAAGTAGGATATTAAACCTCGTTTTATTACAGGAATTCTTATGTCCGTTTGATTTAACTATTTTTCAGAAATCAAAAACCACATCGTCAAGTAAACCAGGAGAGGAGTAGTTCGGAGGGTAGATTGGTGTCAGATCGTCATCCTAATTCTACGCCTAGAATGAGTCCGCGAGAAAATGGTCCTTCGACCCACAGTTATACACGAAGGGTAGATAACTCTACCAATCAGTCACATTTAATACATCAGGCCATTCCACCACACGGAATGGATGCAAACGCCAATATAATGATGGGAAATAAACCAGACTCTCGCTTTATGTAAGTCGTCATGTTTTTTTGTTTTTTTATCTCAACTGTTTAAGGGAACTCGCTAACCTGGAGGTATTGGGTTGGCTACCGGTGTCGGCCAAGAAAGTTCCGCGGTATCTTTCTGTCATGGTTCCCCTTTGTCGGAGGTGCTGGCCGGACAAGACAGCTGTCTAGTAGTTTAGATGGAACAAAAAAGTGAGATCCTGTGTATATATTGGCGTGCACGTTAAAGAACTCTCGACAGCTGGAATTCAATATAAGAGTAGGCTGTAGTGCCGCTGTCTGGGAAAAATTTCCCTCACTAGGGAAGACTCCAATACACGCAAGCGAATTATTGAAATAAGTTTATGTCAAGTGGACTTGAACCCTAACTCTCTCTCTGTCTCCATTAAAACAAATTATGACTCGGTACAAACAGTTGTGATATGTTGTTTTATATTAACAGGAGAGGTAGTCTCACCCTCTCTCTCTCTCTCTGTACAAGGTTGTTTTATATTAACAGGAGAGGTGGTACTAAAGGTCATAAACATGGAAGTGGTAGAAGATTTGAGGAAGGTGCTAATTTAAATAAAAATACATCCACAGTAAGTACTATCATCACTAAACAATCGACACTTGTTAACATCTTGTCTGCTAGGGTTGAATAAGGCAATACTTGATTAGTTTTGTCGACACCTGCCCTAATAGGAGAATGAAAGATTATACTTGATTGGTTTTGTTGACCTCTGCCCTAGTAGGGGCATAAAGGGGGATACTGGATTGAATTTGTTGACATCTGCCCTGGTTCCGGCATCAAAGGGGATACTCAATTTAAAATTCCAGAATAGAATTAAATCAATCCCTCCAGTGAACAAAAAACAAAGGCATCCAGCTCAGTTCACCACAATTTGACGACATCGCAATTCTATTCTGTTGTTTAGCACTGGCAGAACTGTTGTTCATACTGACAATCTAGTACAAGAATTATTTGATCTACTTTCACTTTAGTTTTTTCTTGTCTTTATATATTTATAGCTTTATGTGTATATATATAATAATATCCAGCATGATATTCTCACCTTCAGTAGCACAAGTTACTTATATATTCTATAGCTTCTTTACCTTCTTATTGCTTTTTTACCTTTTTACACTCCGAATGGGAAATATTTCTTTTATCAAATTATATTCCCTTATCTGTTTAGTCAAACTAAATGATGTTCGAAACATTGGTGGAATTATCACAAATCTTAATTTGATTAAACAGACGAGTGAGAAAAATGAAATAACAAAGAGGTCATTGATAATCTGATGTATTTAGAAACATTCATAATTTCACACTTGTCCATGGCTAGAAATGAAACTGCTACAGAATCATTCTTCATAGAATTGTTATAGAAATGTTCTTAATTTCTTGCTTGTCAATTGAAGAATCGTTTATGGACAAATGAATTGAATGAAGATGAACATTTAACCTTTTTATTCCTCAACAGAATACGTTTCGGCGGCCCCAGAATAACATCTTGGATTCGTCTCTCGATTTTAACAAAGATAGAAAGGTATGAATGAATAACCGATGAAAGGACAAATTATAAAAAAAAAGGTTTCACATCCTTTTTGAGGGAAGAGGGTTTGTGGTGGTTGAATGGTTTAACATGTTCAGGTTGGATCGTCAAGGACTGTCATTGTGTTAGTGCTTGTCCAGCCGCCCACAACTAAAGACACCCCCCCCCCCTCGAAATGGCCTAGTTTGTGTCATTTCTCTCTGAGGGACAATGCTGTTCAACCTCGTGGGTTTTCTCCGGGGCCGCCGGTTTCCTCCCACTGCTAAAGACCCCTACGCGCAAGCGAATCATGTTAATAAAATTAAACCATATGTTAGTCCCGAAATAACCTAGTTTGTGTCGAGTGGACGTTGAACCCCATTTCTCTCTCTCTCTCTATCTGAGGGACAATGCTGTCCATCTTCTGGATGGTCTCGCAGTCGGCAAGCAGAACTCTCGTCTTAATTAGCTATGATATCAATTCTAGAGGTGATAATGAAGGGGTTTGTACAAAGATTTTCATGTCTTATTTCATGGTGGCTCAGTGAGTAAGAGATTTGGCTCGCTAACTGGGAGGTCCCGCGTTTGATCCCTGTGTTAGCCAAGAAAGTTCATCCAGAATTTTCAGATAAGGTTCCCCCTTATCAGTGGCGCAGGATTCTGGCCTAGCAAGGGTAAACGTATAGTCGTTAAGAAAAACAGGTTCCGTGTACATAAAAGATCCCTTGGCAGTTGGAATTCAATATATGAGTAGGCCATAGTTGACATTCGGACATGGAATTTCAGTTGCTGATTCATTGACTCGGAGAGATACTGACTCACCAGCCTGGAAGTTTTTTTTCGTTTGCTTCCGGTGTTGGCTGAGAAAGTTCCTCAGGATTTCCATGTGCGGTTTCTCCTAGGCAGTGGTGGAGGACCTGACAAGGACAGCTGTAGTCGTTCGGATGGTCCAGTAGTGGTGCTGCTGTCGGGGTAAAATTTCCCTCATAGCCCGTCTTCATTAGCCCAGTCGGAGCAGAACAGTAGGACGTTAAACCTCATTTCATTAATAGGAATGGTGATCATCTTGGTTTTCTGCATTCGTTCATTTTTCTAGTTGCATAGTCTCCAGTCTGGCTTCAGCTTTATGTCTTGTTTGCCATTTTTAGTATGGAAGACCAATGATTTTAGTTACTACATTCCAGTTGAACTATTGCTTTCTTATATAACATGTTCTAACTTGAATATAGTTCCGAAACAGTAACCATCAATATTGTCCTATTTGGTCTTCCATATTTTTTACTTGGAAATTTTTACTGCTTTTCTTTGTGTTTATATTGATTTTGTACTTGTGTGAGTCCGTTCAAATTTGTGATTTGCCTTATTCTGTCTATTGGAATATTTCCGTAGAATTTCATGTTGATAGCACTTTGAGTTATGTTAAAATTCCTATTGTCAAGTAGTGCCTTCCGTTAATGGACTGTAATTATTTTAGTTAGTTTTCATCTTTTTCAGAATGTTTAACTTTAAATTTTCTTTGATCTAAGAATGGATAATCTCAAATATTTTGTGTTTTTCTTTGCAGAGGAATTCTCCATTTACCAAAGATGGCCGCCATTATGATAGTCAATTTGAATTTGAGTCCAAGTCATTCCCTCCCCTACCAGGCTCTTCAGTAAGTATCAGGATTCATTTATTCCAGAGGGCTGATCCTGTGAACACACATAAAAGAGCCCTTGGTAGTTGGAATTCGATATTGGTGTAGGCCGTAGTTCCACTGTCTGGGCAAAATTTCCCACATAGCACACTGTATAGCGTATGCCCATTTTATTTAGCCCAGTCCGTGCAGAGCGAATGAGAAAGATAGAAATGTGGTGTGGGTCATCTCAACCCAAAGTAGGTCAGAGTAGAGTCGCCGTCCAACCTCATGGGTTTTCTCCAGTTCATCCAGTTCCAGGCCTGGAAATAACGGTTTTAGATGTACCTGACAAAATGTCAGACACTAATGAAATAGTACCTGACATTTTCAACTTAGTGCCGGACAAAATGACAGGCACCAGAGGTTTTGTGCCGGACAAAACCTGAATCTGTGCCGTACATTGTCAGTGACAGATGCCTTATTTCCAGGCTTGTCCAGTTCCCACCCACTTCTAAAGACCCCAACACATGCAAGGGAATTATTGAAATAAAATTGAACCATATGTTAGTTCCGAATTGACCTAGTTTGTTTTGAGTGGTAGTCTTTATTTCTTGGATTATATGTGTAATGCAAGGTATTTCCGTCTGCTCTTGTTCAATTTCCAATTGTGAAGGGGCTCTTAAACGTATAACCTTCGGATTGACACCACGCCACTTGACTCTGTTACAGACCTTATAATAATGATGTGCAGAAATGTTGGACACATTTTAAATTTAAAAAATTGTATTTTCAGAATAACTCTTCCTCCAGTGAGTTACCAGAAAACAAGATGTCTGATGTTGTAAAAGGTGTCACCAGACCTTCGCCACAAGTTCGTGATATGAAAACTCAAACCTCTCTTATTACTCGTTCCAATACACCGCCTCCTCCTCCACCTCCACCAGCCCCTGTAGTAGCCCCTTCACCTCCTCGAGATATACCAGAACCCACAGCAATCCCCCGGGCAGAACCAGTCATCACACAACAGGTGACTGCCGAACCGGCTACACAAAAGTAAGTTTCACATTAAGTAATGGAGTATTATCTTTAAAGGGCATTTAGTGAAACCGACAATCTGATCAAAATACAGATTTATATTTTATTTCGTTTTTTTATACGCCCACATTGAAATGTCGTCGGTCCATCCACCTGTCAGTCTGGCTTCCACAATTTCTTGTGGACACAGTAGAAGCTAAAGTTAACATCCGAATGACCTTGAATTTATACACAGGATGACATCAATCATGTTATTAGAGATAGGAATATATACTCTTCAAATATAGTAGGGGATATTGAAATACAAATGCCTATGCAGGTTTCGATATGATAAATAGTCATGGACATTTGACATGCTTTGAGAGTATGTGCACAGATGAAGATCCTATCGCCCCAACAGAACCACTGAGCGACACGCAATAGCGCCATACACGTGGGAGTGGTTCATTGTCAAATTTGACACTTCAAGGAAGGGTTGATGAAAACTGCCGCGTGCTGGTTTATCTATCCATGTTCTTGCATAAGATCCGGTTTCCTCCCACTGCTAAAGACCCCTACGCGCAAGCGAATCATTAAAATAAAATTAAACCATGTGTTAGTCCCGAAATGACCTAGTTTGTGTCGAGTGGACGTTAAACCCCATTTCTCTCTCTCTCTCTTGCATAAGATTTACTGTTTAACGTATCTTTGCTTTAGTGTGTTACGTTTAATTTGATAGGCAGACGTGTTCGTCGACATCAACGTCAACCGACAACACTGCAAGAATTGGCCGATGCACTGCAAGAGGAGTGGATCAGATTGCCCCAAATCGTGATTGGACGGCAGGCCACGAAATTTCAAATTTTGGCGTAACCAGAAAAATGGTTGCGGGTTTATGCTCTGCGTAACCATTTTCTTTGGTTACGTCAGATGACCATTGCGTAACCAATTGGTGCGCTGTTTTCATGTTTTATCCAGATCTAAATGGTGCTATTATTCATTTCCACTTGCAGTGAATGTATTTTTTTAAAGAAATAACTTGACTAATTTATATTCTTTTATATTTAATATTATATATTTTGAGGTTAAGTGTTTATGACTTAAATCCCACGGTGTCCCCATTTAAAAAATAAACGTTAGAAAAAAAATGTTCCACTTCACTAAATCCCTATACATTTTAATAATGAGGGGAATCGGTTCTAAAAATTACTAATCTGACCTTCAAAAACCAGGAATGGTAGCTACCGCATTGTTTTCGGTCACTGAAGACTACATGCGTACTTCATATTACACTTGTCACTTGCAATCATTCATCCAAGCACGTAGCATGAGATAGCCTCACTCATAGGTAGTGACTGATTGACAAACAGTATTTATTATAAACCTCGGCACTCTATACACAAAGTCTCAAAAGGAAACAGAATAGTTTGATGTCATGAAATAATATTAAAATAGACAGGGCAGTAAAATCGTTTACATATCGCTGGAGCGATGCAGGGGAGAGGGTCAAAGTTGACAACATACATACGGGTCATTGGTACTACAGCATGGCTATAGTGAAAACTGAAAGGAACACGTGTAGTAAATTCTTTAGAAATATAGCCGACATCTTAAATAGTCACTCATTTCTCCTTTTGTGTTTGAAAATCCAAAGGTACGCTTTCAAATATTTATGGCATAACTAATCATTTAAAGAATTAGGGGTGAGGGGCATTTTTAAATCAACCTGCTTGCAACTGGTCAATAGCCTACGTGGTGTCAAAATACGTGATCTGTCAAAGTACCGGTAAGATGGAGGAATGAAATGCCAAGAATGAATGAATGGAGTTTGTGCTATAATACAAATAATTTAGACCTGTGTCACAAGTCATCCTGTATAAAAATTGATCAAATGTGAATAAATCTGTTAATGAAATTTGTTAACGTAACCGATATTTCAATTTGCGTAACCAGGAAATCGGTCGCGTGTTTTTGAGGTGGCGCGACCGCACGTAACCGATTGGTATCGTTCGCGTGAAATTTCGTGGTCTGGGACGGTTGATTAAAAGCATGCCACGACAAATTACTGAATGTCTGTAGATTGGGGGAGCAATAACTCATTAAGACAAAAATCAATAACATCCATTTTCACTTTTGACGGTGTATCTCTTTGCGAGTGAAATGGGGCCTTCAGATAAACCGCTCATATGAAATGTTTAATTTCATGTGTAGGCAAATGTTATTAACATACACTGGTGATCTCTAATAAAAACAGCAGTGCATTTCCGCAGTTTGTATTGTTTCTGAATATCCCCTACTTTTTTTTTTTGAAGAGTATATAAACGCCTCTTGCAGGCCTGATTCTGTATTTTTTTCATTAAAGCCCTAAGTCAGATTCTATATTGTATTTATATTACAGAGTTAGTAAAGCAACAAGCCCAATAGATTTGAAACCAAGTGAACCAGTTGTTATAAAACATCAACAACATCAACAACAATCAGCTCAAGCTGTTCAACAAATTAAACCTCAAACAACAACATCTGTATCATGTGTGGTATGTTAAACAATCATTTCCCCTTGTTAGAGCGATGTTGTTCAACAACAATCATTACTTCTTGTTAGAGCGATGTTGTTTAACAACAATCATTACCCTGTTGTTAGAGCGATGTTGTTCAACGACAATCATTACTCCTTGTGTCTTTTAGAGGATGCTTGATAGTCAGAAACTTTCTGGTTTAAATGATCCTTTTTATTCCTTACATCAGGGGTGTGCACAGTCGTATTCTATCGATTTTAAACATTAATTTTTACTCCTTTAAGTTTGATCTATCTTTGTTACTCCAAGATGTTCTGGGGGTGTTGAGTGGTCTAATGAAATCACAAGGTCTGTCATTGAGTCATGTGGGGTGGTATACAAAACCCTGCTTGAACATGACAAGGAGTAGGGTTGCCTGTCCGACGTCGTGGGTTTTCTCCGGGCCTGAGTTTCCTCCCACTGCTAAAGACCCCTACGCAGAAATGAATTATTGATATAGAATTGAATCGTATGTTTGTCCCGTAATGACCTAGTTTGTGTCAGTGGATGTTTAACCCCATTTTTCTCTCTCTGGTTTTCTTGGATGAGACGAAAAACCGAGGTCCCGCTTACACATTGGCATGTCTGTAAAAGATCCCTTGTCATTTGGAATACAATATACGGGTGCGCTAAATTTCCCTTGTAAAATGTTTTTGATTTTTTGTGTTGAATGAATGTCTAGCCAATTTTTTTTCTTTTTTTTTCTCACTTCTTTTATGCGTGGGAGTAACGGTGGGTAAGACGCTGGTTTGCTAGCCTGGAGGTCAGGTGTTTGATCCCTGCATTGGCCAAGATAGTTCATCAGAATTTTCCGGGATGGTTTCTCCCCCCCCCCCCCTCCCCCCCCCCCCCTTGTCAGTGGTGCAGGACGGATCGAGGGCCTGACGAGGACAGCTATCTAGTTGTTCGGGTGGCATGAAAAACCAAGGGCCTGTGTATACATTGGAGTGCATGCAAAAAGATCCCTTGGCAGTTGGAATTCGAAATAAGAGTAGGCCGCTGTCCGGGCAAAATTTACTCTCAAAGCACACTGTATGGTGTATGGATGTCTTCATACGTTAAACCCCATTTCATTTTTTATTTGTGTTTAAAGTTGATAAATGGTTGATAAAGATACAGGGCTGCCGACAACCAGTATCGCAGCGCAATTTGCGATACATATTTTGTCCGTTGCAAAATAAAAGATTATCCACATTTCGAAGACTAGAAGGCTTTCTCAACACTTTCAACGTGTATAAAATGTCAAATAAAATTTTATAAACCAAACTGAATTCTCCGTGTGACATTTTCTTCTTGAACTACCCAGACACAATTCATTATACTATATAATACAGGGACATAACTCTATGAATAGATATTATTAAACCGGATATAGGGAAACAAGTAGTACCACTCACGTTGCGAGACATGTCAATTTCAAGTAATTATATCAGTATTCATTTTGAAAGAAGTAAATCCAGTGTATCCCCCACGTATTGTAAATAAGATATAGAAAAATAAATACATGTAAACATATTGTAAAATGATAAATCAAAGTAAGAATTCCTGTAAAATATTATTGTTTATATCGCGTGTGTCGAGTTAATCGAGGTGTGTCAGATTGAACAAAAATAGTAATACACGATAAAAAGCAGACAGAATTGTTTTCTAACGAATAATATTTCTAACGTAACAAAGAAATAACAATTAAAATGAGTGGGGCTTCGGAAGCCACTGCCAAGAATTGGCTTCAGACATAAGACCTAACCAAAAGTCTACATCACATTCACAAACTGTCACAACTACATGTGGCACTAGTACTAGCAGTTGCAGTGTTAAAAAATCTATGAATAAAATCTGATCATCTGTTATGAATGGAAGTAATATCTTGTTATTTAGGTGTTTTATGTTGAAACTGTAAAACTGCTAATCAATTTTTAAATTTACTAATCAAATTTGGCCAAATTGGAGTTTTTGATTAGCAGTGCTGTTAATCAACTGTGAAAAATTACCGACAGCCCTGGTTGCATATAATAAAGTAATAAACCTATAAAGTTGTATTATGAATATTATAAAATATTGTTTTTTGTTTTCTAGTTACCCGAAGAAAAGGGTACAACCCCTGCCAGATTAAGTTACGCTCAGATGGTTCAACGGAAACAACAACAGCGGGAGCAGGAGAACGGTGGTAGCGACAGTTCCAGCCGAGACGAGAACGAACCACCACTGACGCCACCTGGGAACCAAGCTGGACAGACGCTACGTGAACAGTCGCAGTCCACCATCAAATCAGCGTCTGCCAGCGCTCGTGCCACTACACAGGATATCCGCAAAGATTGGGAGCCAAAAGAACAGAGACATCCCAACAATAATAGCAATGCTAAACGATCGAAGGAAAATCGGGAGAAACGAGGACGAAATCGGGAGCCAAGAGACTCAGTGAAAGTGTCTGCAAAGTGAAAGCGATAGCTCGGAACATACTAGTCTTGTTTTAACATAAAACTGATTTACGGCTAATAATTGAAGAGGATTTTATTAATACGATGGATGTACGATTCCTGATGTCGGAATTTCTACATCAGAATGTGAAAAACAAAAAATAATGGCATACTGTTCATTATTTTTATAGCTCGACATAATGTGTACTGTTGCCATGATACCATATATAAATATATATATATATATATATATGAATACATATATAAAACGCGATTCAACATCTTAAGACGTTTTAATTTGAAAAGCTGATCTCGGCAAAAATCTAAACAGTGCATTGTGGGATGATATGTCAAAGCCTTCGTTTATCCAGTCAAGAAGCTTTGATCACGTAACGTTACAGCATTGAAAACTTTGGAGACAGTTGATGAATGTTGTAGGTGCCGCTTCTTTTTTAAACGTAAATAATATTTTGCGTTCTGATTTTTTTATGCAATGGATGGACGGCATTAAGCATTTCCTAAATATGAAAGAAAACGTGTTGCACATAACCACACTATTTTAGGGTTTACGATGTGGTTTGGTACGGGAGGGTGGGTGGTCCACATGGCAGTTATCTGCCCTTTAAACTGACTTAATATGGGATGGATTTCAATTGATATGAATTGTTTGTGTTAATATCTAAATAAAACCAGTGAGATGGAAGGAACCAAAACCGAACAATATAGAAATTAAGTGCTTTTTGACGAAAGACCGCGACAGATGTTGGTTTTATTTTAAAAACAAACTTTGTAAGAGTAGTGTTTCTGCCGTTACTACAGAATGGAAAAAAAATGCGGTATAGCTGAACGTAGTCTCTTACTGGATGTTCAAAAAGAATTCTTCCTTGGACGTCCAGTGGAATGTGTGTGTGTGGTAATGACTTTGGTTGGTTTCAAGGCTTGTTATTAGTATTATATATAGTGTTTACTTATCAATGTTCAAATTAAAAAAAAGGCATATATTTATTTTATTTTTCTTATTAAATGGACATATTTGTATTTTGTGACTTGAATTTCGTCTGCCAAGAGTCTTTGTAATTGACATATTCCATGAAAACGCAGAAGATATCAGCCCGTTATGTCGTCTGTCTGCTGTGTTTTTTCTTTTCTTTTTTTTTTTGTTATTTCACTCGTATTTTTGTCTCGAAAGATATTACAACAACTCCAGCTCTGCTGCGGATTTTAACGGCACTTTTAGTCAGCTTTCGTATTTTTTTATTTTTCTACCAAAATTAATCACGCTAAACAACAAAATCGAGAAATGAAATGAAATATTAAGAATTAAGTTGGTAGAATTATAAATGAATAAAGACAGATCAAAATAGTAACCATAGAAACCATGCACGTTTTTGAAAAAGTCGATCTAATGCAAATGCAATGGCACCTCACACATGGAAAACGAGCTTAAGACCAGTATTTGGAATTAAAAGAATTGATATATTTGTGTTATTGTAGCCTGGTTCAAGGTAGAACTAAAGTCATTACTTGGCAAATTGCGGTCCTCAATTGACAGACTTATTTAGAATCATTGATTTGATAGGAAACGAGACGATAATAGTTGGTGCTTTCTATAAATAAACCAGATCACCGTAGCAACCAGTGTTTCGACCAACCACGGAAACTAAAACTAAATGTTAAAATCCCACTAGAGCTGTAGAACCTACGTGTAGCAATGCATATTTTGTTTTCATGTTTTCACGTCCGCAAACGCATACTAAAACTTGCCAAAAATATTTATATATGAAAAACCCTGTGAAAAGAAGAGAAGTTAAAAATTATTGAATGGCCATGTTTAATCTTACAAAATACTTACGTGACAAGTTTACACAGGGCTCCATTCTATGGTCTACAATTACTGTCGTTTTACTGAACGCCGTTTGCTTGATAAAAATCAGGGGAAAGTCCAAGTTGAAACGTTATTCAGTAATCAACGGTAATTCTACACTATAAGATTGTGTGTACTTGGTATTTCTTGAAACAATTTATACAGAGAAAAGACAATTCTCTGGAATACAATTATTGTCTTTTTACTGAACGTTATTTGATTGTTAAAGCCTCATGGAAACTTCACTCAGAAATACCAAGTACCTGTTTATTTCCAGTTATTGAAATTACTGTTTATAACTTAACACTGTTTGATAATGACTAGAGAATCCTAGTCGAAACATCGCTCAGTAATAAGCAGTAATTGTATTCCATAGAATTGTGTTCTATTTATTTCCAATTCAGATACTAAGTCGACAATCTCTGTAAATTAATGACAAATATTAATTTATTTCAAACTGTTTTCATTCTGACAAGAATCAGCAGGTTATTTCATTGGACAACTCTTAATAAAAGTCTGGATTCCATGTTTATTTAAAAGCAGATTTTTCAGCGAGAAATTGTAATTTATACGGAAACTGTTGAATAATGCAACATAACCGGTAGGGCAGACAACGTGATTTTGTCTGATTGAAAAAATACTTTATAAATTGTTCGTTGTTTTCAAGCTTTTTGATGGATTAAATGTGGCCAATATTAATTTGATGTAGGGGTTTTAAAAAAAATAATTGTGATTATTCTTTCTGTTTGATATCACATGACACGGTCGTTTAATCGCGATTTGTTACAGCTTGTTGACGTTAACCAGAGTTTTTAATGGTGTGCTCAACATGTGCTGATGTATACGTGATATTCAAGATCAGAGATATCCAATGTTACCGTATCTTGCACCACAACTCGGGGGTTTAAATGTAGCCGTTTTCAGAAGGATTTTCTATATTTAATTTTTAGTTTCAAACCGTTGTTGGCAAATTGTTTAAATTTGTTTAGAATCACCAAAATAATTAGGTTTCTACTGTCAGGTAGTTTAAAAGGTTCTGTCTAGATACGGTGATGAGTTTTGATTTTATAACTGTTTACTTTCCACTAGTGGTGTTGAGTAATTAATTAGTCTGTTAATTATTCAACACCCAATAATTTTTAACGATTCTCAACAAATTTAAACAATTTGCCTACAATGGTTTGAAACTAAACCTTAAATACAGAAACACCTGCTAAAACAGAACAACTAAACGATACACGAGTTGTCATGTTGGAAAACCATTGTTTCTCACTTAGTTGAATGGATCATGAAAATTTCTAGTTAAAATGGCCTTCAATATTCGTTATATTTGTTAACTGTGAAATAATGACATCATCCATTGACTAAATGAATAATTATTTGTTTCTATGGTAACGCTAATTCTAAGCTAGCTGTGTAAATATGCACGGAGAATCCATTAAATAATTGGGCTAACAAATACCAGCGGGTGATGGACCTGGAACTGAATTGTCACATCTTGCAATTGATGGGCAATTGTCCAAGGAACAAGGGGGGTGGGTGGACGAATGGTTAGCATGCAAGCGCTGTATCATACGGTCTGTCATTGAGTCAACTGGCGGGTTTTGATTCCCTGGTTGTACGTCACAAGGAGTAGGGTTGCCTGCCCAACCTCGTGGGTTTTCTCCAGGTCCTCCGGTTTCCTCTCACTGCTAAAGACCCCTATGCGCAAGCGAATTATTGAAATAAAATTGAACCATGTGTTAGTCCCGAAATGACCTAGTTTGTGTCGAGTGGACGTTAAACCCCATTTCTCTCTCTCTCCAAGGAACAAGCATGCCAGGGTTTCCTCTCACAGCTAAAGACCTCTGCGCAAGCAAATTATTGAAATTAAATTGAATCATATGTTAGTCCCAAAATTACAGTTTGTATCAAGTGGACATTAAACCCCATTTTTCTCTCTCTCTCTATCTCAATTGAAGTTTAGATCGCATATTATTTAACATGATCGTGTGGAATAATTTTATCTTCAACAGATTTTCAGATACATGTTTTTTATGTTCTTTGAATTATGCATTAATTTGTTATTTTACAATGTCTTTTAGTTTTAAATTGAAGAGATTTTCATTGAAAAAGTGATCGGTCCTTTTGTGTGAGCATTTGTCGTAGTTTAAAATCAAAGCGATTTTCATGTAAACGTCCCGTTTCCAGTTTGAGCGTGCACAAAAAGTCAACTTATGAATGAGTTTGATCATATGTTACAATTCCCAGCTTGATCGTGACAAGGAGTAGAGTTGTCTGTCCAACCTCGTGGGTTTCCTCCAGTTCCTTCCACAGCTAAAGACCCCTATGCGCAATCCAATTATTGAAATAATTAGTCCCGAAAGGACCTAGTTTGTGTTGAGTGGACATTAAACACCATTTTTCTCTCTCTCTGGTGTATGATTGTATTTATTTTAAGCCTCATGTTGGCACCGCCACAATTCTTCGTCCAAGTTACACATCTAGCTTATTATTTTCGTCCGTTTGTATATGTCTCTATGTTTTGGGGGAGAGGCTCCGCGAAGATATTGTAACCAAAAAAAATGATATCTTCAGTTCTCTCTCTCTCTCTCTCTCTGTTTTGCTGTTTGCCTAATTTGTACATAACAATTTAAAACTGAAATTTTTGTGTGGTTTGTAAAATATGTGTAAATAATGTATTAATAATGGTAATAATTGAACCTGTTTGTTATATGTATGATTTGTTTGCGATAGGTTGCTTTAATTTAGAGGCCTGGTTTTTTGAAAATCGTTCATACTAAGGAAGTATGAACTTATGCTTATATACTATATATGGTCATCTTCATTCTTCAATTTCACTGTTCAGTTCTAAAAACAAAAAAGAACACTTCATTGAATCTGGCAATTTTATGTATTGGATTGTTAACAAAGCTCAATAAATTTCATTCAATCAAATTCACACATTCGAGACGACTTAAAGGGCCATTATGGGAGATTAGATATAAAAAAACCCTGATAATTCTCGCTATAATAGTTAAAGAATAATGTAAATAGGATATGCCTCTCTGAACCAAGATACAATGTATTAGCTATTGAATTTTAGGCCTAGCCTTGATTGTCATGACTATAGTCAGTATGATAAAAAAACATAGTCTCGCTTATCCAGCACAAAATGTATTCTAATGTAGTAAACATGCTCTGGATAAGTTAATTAATGTGTAATTAATAATTTAGATAACATTTGAGGCGTAAAGAAAGACCTGCAATAGACAGATTTAGCTCTTGCATAATGTATGTTTAACTGAACTATTGCTGCAAAGCCATAGGTAGAGATACATGATTACGACTTTTACAGGCTCAACAGTTTGTCTATAATTAATATAGGGTTTAATCTTGAATGAATCAAATGTTGGGTTAGATATTGAGCGAATCAAATTTAGGATTACATGTAGATCTTGAGGGAATCAAATGTGTACAGTCTGATCTTGAGCGAATCAAATCCATGAGTTACATTTTGATCTCGATACATTTACAGACAAATCCTGGCTTGGCCAAGCACAATGCCCCTGAGGGTCTGTCATTTTGGATGGCACTGATTCTTCCCCTTTTTTGGGTGATATTTTTTTAAATTAAATTTGTGATACATTACGGGCAGAAAGTTAGTTAAAAGTGCCCGGTACTAGTTCAGTAGTGAGTGGCTAACATTTTGTGAGATAAAACTAACCGTTTATTTCCCCAGGCCTGCGTTCGATACACTACAATATGTACTATAACAATAAATGTAAAATTGCCAGATCCACTAAATTATTTCATTCATGAATTTATTCTTCAAATTTTGAAAGAAAGATAGAATTAACATGTCACATTTTCATCGTTTAATTTAATAAATGAAAATACGATTCTTGAATGGGATTCAAATAAATATTTTGTTTCTGTTCATTGGTCATGTAACCTTTGTCATTTTGGTTTACCACATTACTATGATAACTAGATATTGTATTTTCAATCATGCGTTAGATATATTTTCATATACACATCATAATTGTTATATGTACAGGTTGCTATGGTTATGTCATGTTTTTGTTTCCCTGGTTACAAAAAGAACCCCTGAGATTCCATTATTTAGGAACATCATTATGATTATTAATTGGTAAAAAAAATATATCATGTTTCAATGCTGATTTAACATAATTATAGGGTTAAACTATTACATTGTACATTGTGTTATTCAGACTTTTATTTCTCGCACTCTTATTCAAACAAATTGAAAGTAGATCTTAAATTTCTATTCTAGTATATTAGACTTTTGGAACATGCATGTATGTTTTAAGCCAAAAAAAAGAAATCGATTTGAAATACTGATGGCATGAAATAGAAAATGAATTTTCTATAAATTTCTCTTAAAATAATAATGGGGAATAAAAACATTGACTTCCTAGTGATCACGAATGGTTAGTTCTCTCTTCCTCTTGTTTCATTTTAATAATATGTTTGGTCATAGTTTTCCATTTTCTGCCCGTTAATTATTATTATTAATAATATTATTTTTTTTGTCATTAGTAATTATGAATATAGATATAAGAAAAACTTATGTTGACCTGATTAAATAAATAATTGTATATATAAATACGTATTATATCACATGATAATAATAGCCAATCAGATCACAGTTTGATCTGATCTGCAGTACTGTTGTTTGTTAATGAATGATGTCACATATTTGAAATTTAAATCTGTCTATAATTTATCAAGTTCTCACTCTCTCTCTCTCTCTTTCTCTTTTTGAGTATTGATCACAGGGGCTTATATCGGATTTAAAAAGCATACATGTAACATCTTTGGACCTTATTCGACAAAGGCCATTTAACATTGTCTATTCAGTGATTGGCCATTTGTGATTATTTGTGATTATGGTCCCTGAATTGCTTCACCGGTTGTTTACAAGTTTAAATCCTTGACTAAACTTATAGATTCAGACTTTTGAATCTAAATTTGTTAGGGTTATTATTTTTTTTAAATGACCAACTGGGGGATTTCTGAATCCGAAAAGAGTCTTGGAGTTAGATTGCGGCATTTAGATAAGATGTGGGCAAAATACAGAGATTCGATAATTCAGTTAATTTCCTGCAGTGAGAATTAAAATATTGTGAATTGAAGCCTGTGTGGTCTAAATACTCTCTCTCTCTCTTCTACCAGTTTCTCTTTCTGATAACTTGACAAGAAATAATTATTTTTATACCCAGAAAAGCTGATTATTTGTAAAGCAAAATGGATAATAGTTAATCAAAGAAATGATCAAATTCTCCCGCGTGTTGCTGCTGTATATCAGTTAATATTATTTATTGTAAAGGATTAATTATTTGAACTTGAAACCAATTTAAACAAAACAAACAAAAAATCAGGAGAAGATTTTTTAAAAGTAATTATTGACCATTTTGCTTGCTTCTTTTTTTGGTCCTGACCCATCGCCTCGTGCAATAAGCTTTAATTATATATCAGAATTATTCTAACTGAAAACCGAAATTCAGTTTTAAAACAAAACAAAACAAATGTATTAATTTTTAACAATGTTTTTCTGACATGATGTTGATTAAATTCTTAAAAAATAAAAAAATAAATATCCAATTTGGTGTAGAGAATTGTTAAGATAATAAAATAATTTTTTTGATTTTGTCTGTTTTTCCGTGTTTTATTGTAGCCTTGAAAATAGATGCTTGTCCCAAGAAAATACCCTATGAATTCAAAATTGAACTTGTCCACCACTACAGCTAATGCTAAGGCATTGATTTTGGATGAGTTAATTTTAATTCCAAGGGTGTTCAGCATTGACCTCGACAGACATTTATGTTCATTGTATTGTCTTTTGTATAAATGGGATTTTTTTTTTTTTTATTGTACATTTCATTCCGAATAATTTATGGGATATTTTGGTGGAGAAAGCTTGGTTCATATAGGTTGTTGTAAGGGTCATTCTCTTAAGAAAATACACAAAAAAGAAAATAGATTTTGTTCTTTTTATGTGGCAATCCACAATTTAAATATCTTTAAAAGTTTTTAAATTATTGAAAATTCATGGCTCTGTATTATTGCATTACATCAACTGTAAATTATTCAGTTAAGCTTCATAATCTTGAGGAGTGGCTTTCTCACTTTACTATCACTTTGTATCATATTTCCGATTGGCCAGTAATTATCTGAATTGACTGCAACTTGTCAACGATGAACATTACCCAAATAAAAAGGGTGATTATATGGAAGCAACCAAGGGAGATAATCCCTTGCACTGGCTATTTACAACTGAAATGAAAAAAATAAAATTTTCCACCATAATTTCTTTATAAAAACCATTAACTAAAATGAGCAAAATTATTTTTGCTAAATTTTCAAAGGGGCTGATTTAATTGCATTTCTTTTTCATTAAATTCTATTTCTCGCCTTTAATAAAAATATTACCATAATTTGTTTTTTTATAAGAGGCAAGAAAAGTGATATTTGAAAAAAAAATGTAATGAAACATTTGTTTTAAAAAAACCAAACAATTGTCAACATTAAAAATGAAAAAAATTAATTGAAAATATTAAATAGGACAGAGGTCTAGGCCATGGTACCCTTTCCCCTAGGAATACTGTAGTATGTTAATTTGTGTTGATTTTCTTGATTTAGTCTCTAGCTTGTCTTTAGATTTTTTTCTGATTTTGTTTTTATCTCCAATTTTTTTTTTTACTGCTTTGCTCTGTCTTTATCAATTTTTATTTATTCTATATTTTGATATAAAATTCAGAACTGGAATAAATCATTTACATCATCA